TGGGGCTGTAAGGGAAGGTTCTGTTTCTGGCTTCTCTTTGCCTTGCAGATGGCTATTTTCTCCCTGTATTTCTTCGCGTTGTCTTTCCTCTGTGTGTGTCTCTGGGTCCAAATTTTCCCTTTGTGTAAGGATATCAGTCACTGGATTAGGGCCCATCTTAATGACTGCATTTCAACTTGATTGCCTCTGTAAAAACTTTGTTCTCCAAATAAGGCCACATTCTGAGGTACAGAGTTAGGACTTTAACACAGAAGATTTTGGGGGAACACAATTCAACCCTTAACAAATGGCTTAATGATTTTCATAAATTTTAGGAAATTCTTGGCTGTTACCTCTTTATGAATTGTTCCTCATTTCATTTTTCTTTCCTCCTGGAACTCTATGAATATATATTAGATCTCATTGCTGTGTTCCAAATTTCTTTATTTCCTTTCTGTATTTTCTATCCTTTTTTTTTATCTCAGGGCTTCCTTCTGGATATTTTCTAGGAACTGGTCTTCTAATTCATTAATTATCTCTTCTGCTAACTCTTATCTATTGTTACGCCTATCTATTAATTTTGGTTGGTTTAGTTTTCAGTTCAAGAATTGCCATTTGGTTCCTTTTTAGAAAGAATTCAATTTTCTGGTAAAATTTTGTTTATATATTTTCTTCATTTTTGCTGTTCATATTTTTGGTCTTACTCTTTTTTGGAAACAATCTCAAACTTAAATACCTTAAATACATGAAGATTTTGTTTTCCTGAATCATCTTCTATAGTAGCGGTTCTCAACCTGTAGGTCGCGACCCCTTTGGTGGTCGAACGACCCTTTCACAGGGGTTGCCTAAGACCATCCTGCATATCAGATATTTACATTACAATTCCTAACAGTAGCAGCATTACAGTTATGAAGTAGCAACGAAAATAATTTTATGGTTGGGTCACTACATGAGAAACTGTATTTAAAGGGCGAAAAGGTTGAGAACCACTGTTCTATAGTAATAAAAGCATAATATGCTAATTAGACATGATGTCCTTCTGGACAAAGCCGCAGCAGGTGGGGGCCAGGGCTAAGGCCCTTGCATGAATTTCGTGCATCAGGCCTGTCTCTCTCTCTCTCTCTCTCTCTCTCTCTCTCTCTCTCTCTCTCTATATATATATATATATATATATATATCATAGCCTAAGCAACCATATGACTGGTTGACCAGTCACTATGACACACACTGACCATCAGGGGACGGACGCTCAACGCAGGAGCTGACCCCGATGGTCAGTGCGCTCCCACAGCCAACCTCCCATGGCTGGCCAACCTCCCGCGGTCCCCGCCTGCTGGCCAGCCCCAGTCAGGACTGGGCCAGACGGCCCCAATAGCCAGCCAGGCCGAGGGACCCCACCCGTGCACAAATTCATGCACCAGGCCTCTAGTTTGAAAATAAATTGCTAATACCCCATCCCTCACAGGGTGCCCCCAAAAATGTATACAAACTTTTAACAGCTGATAGCTGTTAAATGAAAACAAAATGTGTTTTAATAAAAAAGTGTGTGTATACATTTTTGGGGGATACCCTATATTTTCATGTGTATTTCCTCCCAGTTATATTCTTCTTCATAAGCATAACATATAGCTATTTAATCAGGAAATTAATTGATACATTGACACTATTATTATGTAATCCTCAAGGCCCTATACAAATTTACCAGTTTTTTGGTTTTTTTTAAAATATATTTTATTGATTTTTTACAGAGAGGAAGGGAGAGAGATAGAGAGTCAGAAACATCGATGGGAGAGAAACATCGATCAGCCACCTCCTGCACATCCCCCACCGGGGATGTGCCCGCAACCCAGATACATGCCCTTGACCGGAATCGAACCTGGGACCTTTCAGTCCGCAGGCCGACGCTCTATCCACTGAGCCAAACCGGTTTCAGTGTGATGTTTCTTTGTGATCAGATTGAGATTATGCATCTTTAGAAGCAATATCACAGAATTGATTTGTTTGCTTCTCTTTTTATTATTTCAAATAGCATACAAGTTTGATTTTACTACCTATAATATTCCACTTGATATCTTTTATTAATGTGAGATCTTCTAGGCTTGTCCATTGACAAGTTCTACCTTGCTAATTGCTATGGGTTGAATTGTACCCCAAAAAGATATGTTGACACTCTAACCCATCCGTGGGCAAACTACGGCCCGCGGGCCAGATCTGGCCCGTTTGAAATGAATAAAACTAAAAAAAAAAAAGACCGTACCCTTTTATGTAATGATGTTTACTTTGAATTTATATTAGTTCACACAAACACTCCATCCATGCTTTTGTTCCGGCCCTCCGGTCCAGTTTAAGAACCCATTGTGGCCCTCGAGTCAAAAAGTTTGCCCACCCCTGCTCTAACCCCTAGTACATGTGAATGTGACCTTACATGGAAATAGGGTCTTTGCAGATGTAATCAAATTGAGATAAGGTAATTAGGGTGGGCCTTATTCCAGTATAACTGGCATTCTAATAAAAAGAGGGAAATTTGGATACCGATACATAGGGAGAACATTATGTGACAACTGAAGCAGATATTGTAGTGATGCAGCTGCAAGCAAAGGAATGCCAAGGGTTAATGGCCACCACCAGAAGCTAGGAAAAGATAAGGAAGGCCCTAGCTGGTTTGCTCAGTGGATAGAGCAGTGATGGCGAACCTTTTGAGCTCGGCATGTCAGCATTTTGAAAAACCCTAACTTAACTCTGGTGCCGTGTCACGTATAGAAATTTTTTGATATTTGCAACCATAGTAAAACAAAGATTTATATTTTTGATATTTATTTTATATATTTAAATGCCATTTAACAAAGAAAAATCAACCAAAAAAATGAGTTCGCGTGTCACCTCTGACATGCGTGTCATAGGTTCGCCATCACTGGGATAGAGTCAGCAGACTGGAGGGTCCAGGTTCGATTCCTGTCAAGGGCACATGCCCCAGTTGCGGGCTTGATTCCCAGTGGGAGGCATGCAGGAGGCAGCTAGTGAATGATTCTGTCTCATCACTAATGTTTCTATTTCTCTCTACCTCTCCCTTCCTCTCTGGGAGCCCTCAGGGCATGTCCGACTGATGGCTTAAGCAGTCGGACATCCTTAGCACTGCCACAGAGGCGGGAGAGGCTCCCGCCACCGCTGCTGCGCTTGCCAGCTGTGAGCCCGGCTTCTGGCTGAGCAGTGCTCCCCCTGTAGGAGCACACTGACCACCAAGGACAGCTCCTATGTCGAGTGTCTGCCTCCTGGTGGTCAGTGCGCATCATAGCAACCAGTCATTCTGCCATTCGGTCGATTTGCATATTAGCCTTTTATTATATAGGATTTGTCTATATGTATTGAAAACCATGAGTTCTCTAATCCCAATCCAACATGCAAGGTTTGTTCTAGTTTTCTTCCTTCCCACATTTGTATTGCTTTTTTTAACAGTGTAAAGCCTTGCTCCCTTTATCTTCTATATAATCACTTATTTGAGCAATCCCCTTGTGTGTAACCAGTCTTCCAACATGTCTGTCTCTTTCCCAATCTCCTGTCTGGGCTTTCTCTTTTTCTTGCTTGGGCTTCAAACATCCCGTGCAATGCCTTTCTCCCATGAAGACATTTTTCTCACCCCATTTTGGCTGCACTTTCTTACACTTATTACATCAAGTTCCAGCTAATGGGTTTTGGGCTGAATTGTTCAGAAAGGGAAAGAGGGGGGATTTTTCTCTATTTTCTTGAACATATAAAACAGTAGCTGTTGGTTTTGTTGGATAATTAAGTATTGGCTTTAACTGTTGTGATTTTGTCTCTAGTGACTGTTTTTCTTTTAGGTCATTTAGTCCTCTCTCTTGGCATGCCTACTGATTTTTTATTGAATGTTGGACATTGTATGTGAAAGTGTTTTTAGTCTCTAGATGATTTTTCTTCCTCTAGAGAGGATTCACCCTTTCCTTTGCTAGGAAGATATTTATTGTGAGAGCTGATCAAATTAATCAAATCTGAAAGTAAACTGATTTAAGGCTGAATTGCAGTTTGGGCAAGGCTTTGTCTTTCTCTGATGGTTCATTCCAGCTTCTAGGATATTGGTTTTTCCCACTGAGAGCCTGGGATGGTCACTGAATTCTAAACCTTGTCTCCTCGCCACCAATAAACTACATTAAACTCCACTTTGCTTCTCAGAGGTTTTCTTCTTGGCTTCTTAATTGTCTCTTAAGCAGCTTCAGACTTTTGCAGATATCTTGAAGGAAAAAACAGTAGCATATTGATGAGCCAGTTCTTTCCTTCCTCTTTCATCGAAAGTTGGCTTTTCAGATCTGCAGTATTTTTCTATACAGACCATTTCTGTTTAATAGTGACCCTTTGCCTTGTCCTTTTGCCTTGCATTTTTAATTTCTTGCCTCCTTCCCTAGTATCAGAACCCTGAGAGAGAAGGTAACTGCAGAATGTCACCGTAGCTCTCCTCATGGTTTCCCCCTGGTACATAGGGTTTGTCACTTAGGTTTTGGTTGTCTCAGCACTCTTCAGTACATTTAAATATATGTGCACACATGTGCATGCATATAAAAAGATGCATGTGTATATGTCTGGCTCTACAAAAGCTACTCAGTTATATCCAGAAGCAGAAGCTATTATAATCTTTTCTGTTCTGTTTCATTTTTAAAATAATGTTTTTTGAATGAGCAACCAAAATGATTTTTCAGTGAATGGTCCAAGACTAAAAAAAAAAAACAGGAAAAAGACACACAGCTTTAAGGCATTGGAAATTAAGATAATCAGATCAATAAGATTTAAGCCAGGTGATCAAGGTTAACATCAGTAGTGGTACATCAGACAACAGTAGTATGGTAGTTACCATAGGGAAAGGGAGGTGGGGGAGAGGAGGGTTGAAGAAGGACAAAGGGGGTCAAATATATGGTGACTGAAGGAGACTGGACTTTGTGTGGTAGGCACACAATGCAATACAAAGATGATGTATTATGGAATTGTACACTTGAAACTTATTCTTTCTCTTTTAGGCATACAAAACCTTTGCTAATCGAGTGAACAATTTAAAGAAAAAGCTGGATCAATTGAAATCAACCCTTCCTGATCCAGAAGAATCACCAGTTCCTTCCCCAAGTATGGATGCCCCCTCCCCGACTGGTTCTGAGTCTCCTTTTCAAGGAATGGGAGGTGAGGAATCCCAGTCACCAACTGTGGAGAGTGAGAAATCTGCCACACCTGAGCCTGCAACAGATAATCGTGATGTGGAAGACATGGAACTCTCAGATGTAGAAGATGATGGGTCAAAAATTATTGGTATGTCCTTATGTGATTAGTAGACAACTTGTTCTTTATCTGTTTTATTTCCCCACCAATAAATCTATCATAGGCAGATGTTAAAAGATAGTTTACCTCTGGCTCAGAAGCTCAGTTGGTTAGAGCATTGTCCCAGTACACTAAGGTTGCAGGTTTTATCCCCAGTTAAGGCACATACAAGAATCAATCAATGAATGCATACGTAAGTGGAACAACAAATTGGTCTGTGTCTCTCTCTCTCTCTCTCTCTCTCTTTCTCTCTCTTCCTTCCTCTCGCTCTAAAAATGAATAAATTGTTTTATTAAAGATAGTTCAATCCTTATAAGGTAGAATACCAAGGTAGCAAGCATTGTCTCCAGAGCAATAGTTCAGGATTTGGTAAGCCACATGGGTGAAGAATCATTGCTCAGGATCTATGTTATTCAATATGGTAGCCACTAGCTACATGTGACTGTTGAGCATTTGAAATGTGGCTTATCAAGCTTGAGATGTGCTCTAAGTATAAAAGGTACACATTAATATATTGAAATAAATAAGACATTAACATTAATTTTACCTTATTGTGGCTACTAGAAAATTTAAACTTATATGTGTAGCTTGAATTATGTTTTTATTAAACAGTACTGCTCTAGAGGGAGGAGCACTTATACTGAAATTCCCTATACTCTGTCACTCTTAACCTTCAAGATTCCAAAGCAACAGTTTGTTTACCACACTTTCAAAATTAATCTGGATAGCTCTGGCCGGTGTGGCTCAGTTGGTTGAGCGTCATTCCGTGTACCAGAGGTTGCCAGTTTGACTCCCCGTCAGGGCACATGCCAGGGATGCAGGCTCAGTCCCCAGGAGGATGTTCACAGGGACATTTCTCTCCTCCTTTTCTTCTCTCCCTCTCTTCCTTTTCCCCTCTCTCCGTCTCTCCCTCCCCCCTTCCTTCCTGTCTCTCTAAAATCAATACAAAAAATACTTTTTAAAAAAAAGCTAGCCTGCATTGGTGAATTGCTTCTCTGACATCCCCAGCTTTTATAATAATTGGAGAGTTTTTGATTTGTGTTGGATTTAATGTGCTATCCATACAGCGCATAGTCTTTTAGTTATTAAAAGCATCAAGAGTTAAAATTGCAGTTTCAAATTAGTGCCTAATTGCATCCCCTAATAGGCCAATGTCAGGAAGCCACACAAAAAATACGGTAAAGTATATTACAGAGTTCCTACTCTTTAGAAAGCTCTCAGGTTAACAAAAAAGACAGGACAATTTATGACATAAATATCATTACTGAAAGACAGAACACAAAAGTGTACCCAATAATAACATGCTTCTAGAAATGTACAAATTTAATATACAGGTGCTAAAAAGATGCAAATCATTAAAAATAAGATAAAGTATGAATTTGGGAAATTTCTTTTAAGTAAGTGTTGAAGTCAAGAAGGATCATAAATTATAAAGAGTGGGGCTTTTAAAAAAATCATGAAGTGAGTGGTTTTCTATAAAGCACAGTGCTTTTCACTCCCAAATCAGGAACTAGAAGGTGTTGTTCCATACTGGAAACAGAGTCTGGGTAGTCGTAAGATTCAATAATATTTGTTCTCTTTGTTTAAATAGTAGAGGACAGGAAGGAAAAACCTGTGGAGAAGCCAGCTGTATCTACTTCTGTTCCTGCAAAGCCAACAGAAAGTATCTCCAAGGCCTCTTCATGTGCCCCAGTGCCTGTGACCATGACAGCAACCTCGCCTCTTCCAAAACCTGTGAATACTTCCCTTCTGTCCCCGTCTCCAGCATTGGCTTTGCCAAACCTGGCTAATGTGGATCTGGCAAAGATCAGTTCCATCCTCAGTAGCCTAACATCAGTCATGAAAAATACAGGTAAGCAAGCCCCGTAAAGAGGATAAAAGGCTGACTGTCATCGTTCTAATTGAACCATCAGTCTGTTTTTTGTTGAATTGTTAAAATTAATTTTTTAAATTTACCTAAAAGTAATATTTAAATATGAAAATAAAACCAGCACTTGGTCATTATAGAAAAATTAGAAAGTAAGTGAAGAGAATAAAATAAATATAACTCTACCCCAAAGGAAATCACTTGTATATAACCTTACAAGTGTGTGTGTATCTGAATGTTTTGGGAGATTAAATATTTGTAATAATTTTTTTTTAATAATTGAAGCATATTGCGTATACTGTTTTGAAACCAGCTATTTAAAATTTCAGCTGTATAGTTTTTTATTATTTAAGCCTTTTAATTATTAGACATCCAGTATGTTTCCAATTTTTCACTGTTTTTCATGAACAACCATGATGCTAAAATTTTATGCACAACCCTTCCTATAAGGGTTGATGTGAATATAGGGTTTGTTTTTTTTAATTGAAATTTTAATGAGTATGTAGAGCACCTCCACATACTCATCTCTCATCTTCAACTACATAAACACATGGCCTACCCAATCCTGATTATTTTGAAGAAAATCCCAATTATTTCATTTCTTCATAAGTACTTAAATATATTATTTCTAAAAGATAGATTCTCCAAAAAATCAGCACTTAGATTAAGTCCTTTCATGTTATAATTACAATGATCTCCAGAAATGGACTGTTTGTTCCAAGTACTATATAAAGTCCCCGTTGTGCCTCAGCTTCTCCAAAACTATTTCGTTTTGTTTTAATCTTTATTAAATTCAATCTTTAAAAGTTGTTTGTTTTAATTTGCACCCTTTTGATTAAAGATGTGGTTTAAATATTTTTCATTTGCTTATGATTGTTTGTGTGAAATACCTGTTCATATTTTTGATCATTAAAAAAAATCAAAAATTATTTTATCTTTGTATACTTTTTCCCTATGTTAAAAATCAATCCATTGTTTTAAAATGTAAAAGTATAAAGGAGGTTGCTTATATAATCTCATTTTATAGGCCATTTCAAAAGCAAAAACTTATTAATCACTTAAAATTATGCTGTGGCTGAGTTATACAATTGCAGGAGCTCTGATTATAATTAGTCAGCAATATTTTGGGGGCACCTACAGTACTCTGAGGTGTAGGTTTCATTCGTAGAGAAAAAAGGAATAGGTTCCTTAGTCTTTTTCTGTTGGAGCTCTCTAAACTAAGGGAATTACATATGAGAAAAACTTATTCATTTATTTTAGGGGGGTTCCAAGTAGATGGAAGCAAATCTTCATGTAATTTTCAGATTTATTTATTTATTTTTTTGGTACAAGCCATGATATGGACCTTTTGTGAATCAGCCACAGAAAAATTTTGAGTGGAAAGTATCATGGATTTAAAGTCATTTTGAGTTGCATTTGCTTGAGTCAATCTTTCTGCCACCAGGGGTCAGTCCTGCATCAAGACCGTCTCCAGGAACGCCTACAAGCCCTGGCAACCTCTCCAGTGGCCTGAAAACACCTGCACCTGCCCCGACAGCATCTCACAACCCTCTGGCCAATATCCTCTCAAAAGTGGACATCACCCCAGAGAGCATTCTGTCTGCTCTTTCCAAAACCCAGACCCAGTCAGCCCCTACCCTGCAAGGTAAGCTTATGGCCAGAGGGACTCGCACTGCGAGTGCTTGTCTCAGGCTTAAGCCTGGACTCCATTTCTGAGAAAAAAGGAAAGAATCCAAAGCCATCTATAATAATAAAAGCATAATATGCTAATTATGCCAGAGGTCCTTCCAGATGACCTTCTGTACGAAGCTGAGTGCCGGAGGGAAGCCGGTGCCAGCAGCAGGGGGAAGGAAGGCCTACTCTTGCACGAATTTCGTGCTTTGGGTCTCTAGTGAAATATATAATTTAGTTGATTAATTATTCTCTTTATATTTATTATCCGTGAGCTGGCATTTGTAGTATTATAAAGTATCAAAGATGAAAGAGACTTTAAATATCATCTAGTCTAATCCCCTCCTTTTCAGGTAAGGAAATTAAGGCTCAGTGAGGTAATGTGACCTGCTTAAGGTCACACATCTACCTACTCAGTGATGAGCCAAGACTAAAAGCCATATTTCTTGACTGGAGTCCGGTATTCTTTCACCTACACCATGGCACCCCTAGGGGCTGCATTTATCCCAGCTCTTAGTACAGGTTAGTATATGTTGAGGTTTACATATTTTAATGTTAACCAAAGCTAAAGATAGTCAGAAAGGTCATTCTGCTATCAAATATCTTATGAGATATGTTTGTCTCATTTATGTCGTGTTTTATAGAGGCCTCTATTTATAGATATGTAGTGAGTCTTTTTGTTTTTGGTTACATATAATCTCTACCTTATTTGAACCTCTCTTCAGCTTTGCTAATTATCTGGGTTGGGCTTAAAACTGTTCACTTCTAGTATTTTTTTCATAAACTTAACCTGCTCTCTGTTTCCAGACCCTCCAGCTGCCAACACAAGTATCTCAGTATAATTATGCATTAATTACAGATACCAGAACAGTATCTTTCTAGTGATTTACTCTGTACTACTAGATCTCAACCAGGAAGCTCCAGGGGATATTTGCCAGTGGCCTAAAGGCATTGTTTGTCATAACTGGGGTGTGTGGGGATGCTGCTGCATCTAATGCATGAAGGCCAGGTAGCAGCTGAACATTCTACAGTGCACAGGACAGCCCCACAATAAAGAATTCTCCAGCCCCAAGTGCCAGTAGTACTGAGGTTGAGGAACTCTGCTTTATATGAATAGAGAACATTACAGGTATCTACTAATTTTATTTCCTAACTGTTCTGTAAGTGGATCAGCTAAGCACTATATTATAGTGAACTTTGTCTTAAGATATAGGACAATTTTATTACATTGAACTAAATACGATTTTTAAAATTGATTTTTAGAGAGAGGTAGGTTGAGAGGGAGGGAGGAAGGGAGAGAGAAAGAGACAGAAACATCGATGTGAGAGAAAAATGTCAATCAATGCCTTCCACATGTGCCCTGAATGAGGATCAAACCCGCAACCTGGGTATGTGCCAGGTTGATGGGGAACCAAACCCGCCACCTTTTGGTCTAAGGGACAGTGTTCTAATCAACTGAGCCATACCAGCCAGGGCTGAACTAAATAGTACTAAATGATAATTCATATCCCCATTCATAGACCAGCAATAAAGAATTAATGATAATACTATAGCACATCTGACACTACTAATTTCAGAGATAATTAGTTTTAGAGATTAGCATCATGTTTATGATTCTCCCTTCTAGCCTATAATTAATAGCAAAAATCTTGAACTCACTTGTTTTAGCTTTTTTTTTAGCTTCTTGGATAGATATATCTTAAAGAAAAAGCTTTTCTTTTTTTTAATACTTCAAGTTTGTATTACAGCAGTATACCAAATCAGTAACAGTTCTTGTTAGCTGGTCAGAGTAGCAGATGGTTCCGCAGTCTCAGTGGCTTAACACAATGCAGGTTTACATCTTGCTGACATTACATACATCTGATGCAGCTCTTCTCCATCTGGGCGCGCTCGTTGATGCCACCCCTCCAGGCAGTGATTCAGAGACCCAGGCTCTGCATCTTGTGACTTTTCCATCTTCAGTATGTGGCTGCCCTGGGAATGGGCTCCATTCCAGCCAGACAGCCAGGACCGAGGAGGGGGAGCTGTGCCGGGAGAAAGGTGTATGAGCCAGGCCTGCAGGTGGGGAGCTCCACCCTCATCCCGTGGCTCACATTCAGTTTTACAGCCAGGTCTCACTGCAAAGGAGATGGGGGAATGTAATTTAGCTCTGCAACCATGATCTAGGCCAGGTTCTTCTCCTGCTGTTTCACCCTCCGAGGTCCAGAGGCTGCAAACCAGCTTTCTGAGAAACGGAAATGGCAATGGCAGGGAGGGACGCTGTGCTTTCCTGGTCTTCAATCTCCCGGTCTCTGTCCCATCGTGGTTTGCTCTCTTTTACCAGAGGGGTGAGGTCCTCATCTCCAACTGTTGATTGTGGGAGTGGAAGTCTCATGATATCCTGAAAAAAAGAATTTTATGAGACTCGCATGGGGAAATGAGTGATTTTTTTATTTGCATGGAATTAATTCCTTGAATTTCAAGGTCCCATTTTCCTCAGTCCAGTCATAGAAGTGTAGCTGGGGGTTCAGCAGAGCTAAAATCAGAGCCAGCGTCCAAAGTTTCCTTTCCATGTTAGAGCGGAGCCCAGTCCAGCATCAGGCCAGCTTAGCTGTGTTTCTTTCTGCAGTCCATCAGTCCATTGCATGTGGAGTCTGCATGGCTGTATGGGCAAGTGCAAGAGAACAAGAATAGCTTTTGTCTCCCCACCCCCCCCCCCCCCCCGCCCCGGAAATTGTTGCAACGAGATCATGTGGGCTTTCTCATCAGGCAAAATTTGAGCAGAACTAGGTGTGTTCTGACAAAATGAGAAATGGGAATCCCAGAAAACACTTGTGGAATAACAGGGCAGTTCATCACCTTTCATTTCTTTAGAGAAAGTGTAATTCTCCTTAAGACAACTGTGCACAGCAACTTAAAAAGATGTGTTTCTTCAAAGACTATAAAGAAAATCTCTTAGAACTTTGCTCTGATTATGTCACTCATAGCCCGTATTGGCAGATTTTCAACACAAAAGAATGACTTCAGTGGGCAAAGGACTGTAGAGCAAGCATGTCAAACTCCTGCGAGTTTGACATGCTTGCTGTAGAGCAGTGGTTCTCAACCTGCGGGTCGCGACCCCTTTGGGGGTCGAACGACCCTTTCACAGGTGTCGCCTAAGACCATCAGAAAACACATATATAATTACATATTGTTTTTGTGATTAATCACTATGCTTTAATTATGTTCAATTTGTAACAATGAAATTGGGGGTCACCACAACATGAGGAACTGTATTAAAGGGTCGTGGCATTAGGAAGGTTGAGAACCAGTGCTGTAGAGTATGGCTTGTTAAGATGGAAAAAAAGTGCCCTGGCCAGTGTGTTCAGTGGTTAGAGCATCAGATTGCACACCCAAGGGTGTCAGGTTCGATTTTGGTCAAGGGCACGTAATTGGGTCGTCCATTCGTTCCCTGCCCCAGATCAGGGCACATTCGGGAGGCAACCAATTGATGTGTCTCTCTCACATCAATATTTCTCTCTCTCTCCCCCACTCCCTCCTTCCACTCTCTGAAAAGCAATGGAAAAAATATCCTCAGGTGAGTATTGAGAAAAAAAGATTGAGCCGGGACCGGTTTGGCTCAGTGGATAGAGCATCGGCCTGGGGACTGAAAGGTCCCGGGTTCGATTCCGGTCAAGGGCATGTACCTGGGTTGTGGGCACGTCCCCAGTGGGGGGTGTGCAGGAGGCAGCTGATCAGTGTTTCTCTCTCATCGATGTTTCTAACTCTCTATCTCTCTCCTTTCCTCTCTGTAAAAAATCAATAAAATATATTTAAAAAAAGAAAGAAAAGAAAAAAAGATTGAAGAAAAGTAATATTTAGGGGCACAAAACTGTTTCACCTATTGCCAGAAATCTGAATAGTATCTTTTTTTTCTTCTTCTTGTTTTTTGTGTGGTTGTTTTGTTTTGTATTTTGTTAATCCTCACCCAAGGGTATTTTTCAGGTTCTAATCCTAGCCTCAGTCAGGGTATGTGCGGGAGACAACCAATCAGTGTGTCTCTCTCTCATTGATGTCTCTCTCTCTCTCCCCCCCCCCTTCTTTCCCTTCCACTCTCTCTAAAAAATCAATGGGGGGGAGGGCTAGGGGCATCAATGGGAGAAATAAGGGGACATATGTAATACTTCCAACAATAAAGAATTTTTAAAGAATTTTTTTTAAAATATATTTTATTGATTTTTTACAGAGAGGGAGGAAGAGAGATAGAGAGTTAGAAACATCGATGAGAGAGAAACATCGATCAGCTGCCTCCTGCACATCCCCCACTGGGGAAGTGCCCACAACCTAGGTACATGCCCTTGACCGGAATCGAACCCGGGACCTTTCAGTCCGCAGGCTGACGCTCTATCCACTGAGCCAAACCGGTTTCGGCAAGAATTTTTAAAGAATTTAAAAAATCAATGGAGAAAATGTCCTCAGGTGAGGATTAATTTAAAAATTCTTCAGACCTTAAATCTCTTAGCAAATATGGATTAAAATTAAAATTTTGAAGAAACATTAATTGAAGTATTTCATGAACTATTTTCTTTCACCATATCATTATAAAGGAGCTCTTTTAGTGTATAACAAAGCTATGAGCTTGGGTTGGAGTATATACAAGTTTTCATTTATGACTAGAGAGTGGGTACATTTTTCAAAGTATGATTTTAATGTATAAGACTTGTTATCTTTTTGTTGTGTTTTTCTAAAAAAATTTCTACAGGAGCAATTTGCTTTGATGGACTTCAGCCTTTGCCCAAAAAATTCTATTTCATGGCTTCTGAGAAGGTTTTGTCTATCATTAAGTAGGGTTGAATCTTACCACTGTCAACAATAATTATTCCTTGAGTTTTCCACGCTATAAGGTGGTGATTGTGTGTTTTCTTGTGAAAGATCAGAGCCTTTGATGATCTAGCTTTGTAAGTGTTTGTGGTGTATGTTTATATGTTTATTATTGCTACATTTTACAACCAAAAATGATAGCTTAGAGCAGTGGTCGCCAACCGGTGGTCCGAGGACCACTGGTGGTCCATGAGGTCCGAAAGGTTGGCGACTGCTGGCTTAGAGCATTGTTTCCCCCAAAAGATAGCAAAAGATGCTTCTTTTTAAAGTGCCCTGGTTCAAATATATTTCTGCAGTTTGCATATCTTATCTCTCTCTTGAGAATAACAAAGTATATTAACTTACTAGAGATAATTATGGAGGTTGGAAACGAAGGATAGAATGTCTATTTAGATAGTGATGGCCAGAGGGAAGGGGCACGGAGGAGGTGGGCAAAGGAGGGCGAAATGGGGTCATCGGTAATAGTGTCAACAATAAAAATAAATTATATAAAAAAAAGAATATCTATTTAGAGAAACAGTTTCACAAATCAAACATTAAGAAATACTGACTTGCCCTAGTCAGTGTTTCTCAGTGGTTAGAGTGCCGGCCCAAGCATGGAAGAGTCATGGGTTTGATTCTGATCAAGTGCACGTACCTGGGTTGCAGGTTCGATCCCCAGGCCCCAGTCTGGATGTGTGCAGGAGGCAGTCAATCCATTTGTCTCTCTCACATTGTTGTTTCTCTCCCTCCCTCCTTCCCTTCCCCTCCCTCTCCCCCTCCTTCCTTCCCAATCACTCTCTCTAAAAAGCAATTGGAAAAATATCCTCGGGTGAGGATTAACAAAAAAAGAAAAAGAAAGAAATACTGGCTTAAAGTGTTATTTTAAGAATGATTTTGCTTTCTTTCTTTTCCTGCTTTGTCTTGTTTAAACTGTGAATGATTCTGACACTAAAATCTACCCCTTCCTGTGGCCTTTCATTGTGCTGTGTTGGGCTTGTTTCATGACTGCACTAGAAACATCTCAGTGATTTGCTCTCTTTATATTGGCAAGTAAGTCCAGTGTTTTCTGTGACATTTAGCAGAAATGCTTGTTTAGTCAGGATTTCCTTTGGCCTCACATTTTTATGTCCATCTGGTTCCCACTGGAATGAATGAGAATATCCAACTGGCCTAAACTGTTTATTGTAAGGCAGGGAGTTGTTCTTTTTAACTCCTCTAATCTCTGCTTCTACAGGCCTGTCGTCTTTACTTCAGAGCGTTACTGGGAACCCAGCTCCAGCCAGTGAAACTGCATCCCAGAGCACTTCAGCTTCCCCTGCCAACACCACTACAGTCTCTAACATAAAAGGAAGAAATCTACCCTCCAGTACCCAATCCTTTATTCCCAAAAGCTTCAACTATTCTCCTAATTCATCGACATCTGAAGTCTCTTCAACTTCAGTCAGCAAGGCCTCAATTGGGCAAAGCCCAGGGCTTCCAAGCACTACGTTCAAGCTGCCATCCACCTCTCTGGGGTTTACAGGCACCCACAATACTAGCCCTGCTGCCCCACCTCCTGAAGTTGCCATGTGCCAATCTTCAGAGAGCTCCAAGCCAAAGCTGGAGTCCGAGTCCACCTCCCCAAGCCTGGAAATGAAAATCCATAACTTCTTAAAAGGTAATCCTGGTTTCAGTGGCTTAAACTTAAACATCCCAATCCTGAGCAGTTTGGGGTCCAGTGCCCCAGCAGAAAGCCATCCCTCAGACTTCCAGCGTGGCCCTACTAGCACTTCAGTTGACAACATTGATGGAACCCCTGTGCGGGATGAACGCAGTGGGACGCCCACCCAGGATGAGATGATGGACAAGCCCACATCCAGCAGTGTAGATACCATGTCCTTGCTTTCTAAGATCATTAGCCCTGGTTCTTCAACACCCAGCAGTACAAGATCACCACCCCCCGGGCGAGAGGAAAGCTACCCCAGGGAGCTCTCCAATTCTGTACCTACATTTCGACCCTTTGGCCTGGTCAGTGAATCATCCTATAAGCAGCCTTCTGATGGAATGGAGAGACCATCTTCCCTGATGGACTCTTCACAGGAGAAGTTCTATCCAGATACTTCTTTCCAGGAAGACGAGGATTACCGAGATTTTGAGTATTCAGGGCCTCCACCCTCTGCCATGATGAACCTAGAGAAGAAACCAGCCAAGTCTATCCTGAAATCCAGCAAGCTCTCTGAGACCGACTACCAGCCAATCCTGTCCAGTTACAGCCACAGGGCCCAAGAATTTGGGGTAAAGTCTGCCTTCCCTCCATCTGTAAGGGCCCTCCTGGACTCTAGTGAGAACTGTGACCTTCTCTCACCTTCCCCTGGGCTGTTTGGTGCCTTCAGCATAAGAGGGAATGAATCTGGGTCTAACCGGTCACCGTCACCGAGTAAGAATGATTCATTTTTCACCCCTGACTCCAACCACAATAGCTTGTCTCAATCTACCACTGGGCATCTCACTTTGCCACAGAAGCAGTACCCAGACTCTCCTCACCCAGTCCCACATCGTTCCCTTTTCTCTCCGCAGAATACCCTTGCTGCTCCCACGGGCCATCCACCCACATCAGGCGTGGAGAAAGTCCTGGCCTCCACCATTTCCACCACGTCGACGATTGAGTTTAAGAATATGCTTAAAAACGCCTCACGAAAGCCCTCAGATGATAAGCATTTTGTCCAGGCCCCCAGCAAGGGCACTTCAAATGAAGGTGTCAGTCTCTCAAACCTCACCCAGCCCAGCTTGACCACCACTGAGCAGCAGCAGCAAGAAGAGCACTACCACCGCATAGAAACGCGAGTCTCCTCCTCCTGCTTAGACTTGCCTGACAGCACTGAAGAAAAGGGGGCCCCTATAGAAACCTTGGGTTACCACAATGCATCCAACAGGAGGATGTCCGGGGAGCCCATACAGACGGTAGAGTCCGTCCGAGTTCCTGGGAAGGGAAATAGAGGACATGGGCGTGAGGCTTCAAGGGTGGGTTGGTTTGATCTGAGCACCTCAGGCAGCTCTTTTGACAATGGCCCCTCAAGTGCCTCTGAGTTGGCATCCCTTGGGGGTGGGGGCAGCGGAGGCCTCACTGGCTTTAAAGCAGCACCATACAAGGAACGGGCACCCCAATTTCAGGAAAGTGTCGGCAGCTTTCGTTCCAACAGTTTCAACTCAACATTTGAGCATCATCTTCCCCCATCCCCCTTGGAACATGGGACACCTTTCCAAAGAGAGGCAGTGGGGCCGTCATCTGCCCCGCCCGCCCCTCCTAAGGATCGTGGTGGTGTCTTCTCTCGAGAAGCACCCGCTCATCTACCCTCTGTGGATCTTTCGAACCCCTTCACAAAGGAGGCCGCCCTGGCCCATGCTGCCCCGCCCCCCACTCCTGGAGAGCACAGCGGAGTTCCTTTCCCCACCCCACCCCCTCCGGCCCCTGGGGAGCATAGCAGCAGTGGTGGGAGTGGTGTCCCCTTTTCTACTCCACCCCCACCTCCCCCTGTTGACCACTCTGGGGTTGTACCCTTCCCAGCCCCACCACTGGCAGAGCACGGAGTGGCAGGAGCAGTGGCAGTATTTCCCAAGGACCATAGTTCTCTCCTTCAAGGGACCTTGGCTGATCATTTTGGGGTGCTCCCAGGACCCAGGGACCACGGGGGCCCCACCCAACGGGACCTCAACGGCCCTGGCCTTAGCCGTGTACGTGAGAGCCTGAGCCTACCCTCCCATTCTCTGGAGCACCTGGGCCCGGCCCATGGAGGAGGTGGGGGAGGCAGCAACAGCAGCGGTGGCCTCCCCTTGGGTCCCTCACACAGAGACATCATCAGCCGGAGTGGTATGATTTTGCGGAATCCCCGGCCAGACTTTCGGCCTAGGGAGCCTTTTCTCGGCAGAGACCCTTTCCACAGTTTAAAGAGACCCAGGCCACCTTTTGTTAGGGGCCCTCCGTTCTTTGCACCAAAACGCCCATTCTTCCCTCCCAGGTACTGATGGAGACCAAGGGAAAGGCATTTTGAACAGTCGAGAGAGCATTGGAAGTAGGAGTTTGGTTTATTGTTTGTTTTTCCTCCTTTATTTTTCTATGACCAAGGGCCTCCCTTCCAAAGTAAAAAGTCGTACATATATGCTTACATTTCACTATTCCATCCAGTCCTCCCTCCCACGGCACTTACCTACCTTCCCCGAGTTGTTTGTATTTTAGGGGGTGGAGGGGAGCAGGCAAAGGAACACAACCAAAGCCACTTCCTTTGGCTGGGATTTTGAGGGACGAGAAGAAAAACAAATCTGCTATTACCCCATCTATTGAAGAGTATTACTGCGTTTGAAATAAAACTTCCACCAGAACAGATAATAATGTGCAATGTTGGGATGTTATTTTGGGTTTGGCTTATCAGTAGTCAATGGAAGGGTTCCTGCCCCCTTCTCTCTGCAGCTACCCTAACTGCTGTAACCAGCTTGGCTTCCTTGTGGCTCTGTGCCCTGCTGACAGCCAAGAGATGTTGCAAGGGAGGAAATGCGGGAGAGCTCAGCGCTGTCATGCTGTTCTGCTTTGTTTGTTTCGAAAGGCGTGTGGAAGCTGAGCTCTTTATCTTTCTCCTCAAATCTTAATTTAACAACCACACAACAGGCAGCCTTTCCACAGCACTGTCAGGCCGCAACTGAGGAGATGCTCTTCTGTCCTAGTAAACGTTTTTCCTTTGTTTTTGGAATGGAAGAGAGCAGGCTGAATATATTTTGAGGTTAAAATACAGAGTAATTACAATAGAGAGTTAGGGGACTATTAACAGTGTGATGTGACCTGCCCATCCTTCATAAACGAGAGAGTGGAACCGTTTTTGAGATCGTTCCGCTCCTCTGACACCCAGCTCTTCCTGCTTTTCTTTCTTGGCTTTCTCAGCTTCGCTCCTGCTGTGGCCAGAAAGTCGCTCCAGTTGACAGTTGTCACAGAGGTGGAACTGTACTATTGTCCCTGTGTTTTTTTCATGTAAGAAGTAGACATTTTTTACCCTGGTGCCTCCCTAACGTAAGTGATACTTGTTGGCATATTTCAGCAAAGGTTAACTACCAGGGAGAGGGGATTGTCTTTATCTTTCCTTTCCCCTTGCCGTGCTCCTGTATTCACCCCATTCTTGGTATTTATTTCAAAGAAGGTTCAACAGCATCATTCTTTATATTACACCTCTTCAGATGTGTCCTAGTAACAAGTGAGTATTACTAGACATTTTTACAGAGGAAACTGGAGGACATGAGAAATCCAAATTTACCCCACTCCACAGTAGCTGCCCATCACATATCAAGGCTCAAGCCTTATCCTCACTTTCCACTCCCAGTAGGAAATAAAGGATGTTTCTGCTCTTAGTCATTTCACATAGAAAGTTCTGCCTGAACTGAAAGGCTTCTTATTTGTGTTTCTACAGAGAGTACTGGGGGATAGACAATCACAGCACTTTGAGTGTTTCTATCTTTATATTTTAGGGACATTGAAAAGCAAACGTTGCGTTACTATTTGTTATTTAGTGTCTTATCCTAAGGTACACACACGGGTAAACTCCAGCTAGATGAGTAAAACAATATGAGTGTGTTAGAGAATCCTAGTAAGTTTCCTATTTTCTTCCAGGTTAGTATAGAACTACAGGAAGTGGGATTGCTTTGGATTCCTGCAGTGAAACCTCAAAGGTGGGGGAGAAGACAATGTAGTGACAGAAGGTGATGCTTTGTCTCAAACTTGCTTTTCAGATAAAGAACAGCTTAAGCCAGGTGTGTCATAGTTTGGGGGTTCTCTGTAACTTATTCCATGTTATTTATTTGGGCTCGATATGTGTCCTGTGGTTAGGGTGCTGCAAGTCATTCATCTCCCTAATGCATTTCTGGTCCTAGGCCAACTAACTGTTCTTTCTTCCTTTGACCCTCTCAAGCCTCTCTGCCCTGTGGCTCTCCCACACCAAAAATGCATGATACCATGACCTTGTGTGTGGGATGGGGTATATAGAGTAGCAAAGCAAAGAAACAGTATAGTTACATTGAGTCCTCAGACATTTGTTTAGGAAAACGTATAAGTAGGGCAGTGAGGGTGGGGAGGGGGAGTTCTATTTGACTCAACTTAAAAATTATTTTTTTTTTTTTTTTTGCAGAAATTAAGGGGGATGTTTTTCATTCTAGAATAAAAGAATGTGAATTCTTTCTGCTGCTCTTGTTTAAGCTAAAAGTAGTGTTTACTTGAAAAGGCTCTCTGACCATTTGGTTTTATAAGAAAATATGGGGATGTCAGGAAAGTGGCCTCCTGAATGTTGTTGGGGCAGAGAAATTGTCCTCAAAAGTATGATGGCTAATACATGAAAGGAAGACCGTGTACAGTTTTAAAGATGGACTTTTAAGGGCTGGCTTTCTTTTGTGGGCTGTTTTGTTTTTAAGCCACAGAATCCTCCAAGCGCTTGTTTAGGATGGAAGTGAGGATTTGTGTGACTTTGAGGTGTTCACTTTAAGGAACTCTTGTCTACAGCAGTAAATGAAGACAACAATGTACATATGTGATATAGTGAAACAAAAGACAATTCTGGTATTCATAACATGAAACAGGGGTTTTATTCTTTCTGTGTCTGTGATTTAAAACTCCGTGCCCATGCTCTGACTTTTGTATTTCAACCTGAGTTTAAAAAAATAAACAAGATATTTTTTAAAGAAAGCATAACATAGTGTGTCTTGGAAAGGACATGATTCACAGGAAAGCAGAATATGCGAAGTTGTTACTAAGGTCTTTGGTGCTCACTGTAAAATCACAGACAGAGAATTAGTGGGGATTGTGAATACACTGGTACCACCTAAAACTCTGATACAGCGTCAGAAATGAGAGTCCTTAAGTAGTTTGTAAGTTTACTCTTCAGTGAGCTTAGAGGGAAGCTCTCCCTGCTTCTGCCCTCCCAAATGTTGAGAGTAAGTAGAATTCGGTTTGATTCCAGGGAGGGTAAAATGATCAGAGAGTAGGACTTTTATCCTTTCCAATCCCAGAGATACAATGTTTGTGATATATATGGTACAGCAAACCTATCTAGATAATGTGAATATGCTAGACTTCCTAATTGCAGAATATTCACTATTTCCTGAAATTACTGGTTCATGCAGAATTAAGCTTCAGCTGTTATTGTTTTGAAGCCGCTGTAAATTACTGCTTTCCCCCCTTTTTCCTCCCCTCCCCTTTTTTGAATGGGCGGGGGTGCCTGTTAAAATTAGAGATGTTCTATGATATTCTCACGTGTTCAGTGTGGAAAACAAAACAAGTACATGCTTTAGAGGCAACAACATTGAAATCCTTTTGAAATGTGTATTATCACTTAATAAAATAACTAGTTCTCAAGGTTTGACATTTTTCTTTGAGATTTGGGGCTTCAGCCAAGGGCCTCTGGCTTCTCTGGTGAGTGCAAAGAGTAGGAAACTTCTCCAGGAGCTGAAACTGCTGCTTTGTGGCGAAGGCCTGTCCTTGGAATATCGACATTTTCTCCAGCACAGACCCTACATGACTGTCCAGGGCTGAAGGTGAAACCAACTACAGAATGCAAAAAGAAAAGCCTGGATACATCTCTGAAGATATGATTGGATTGGCTTTGGTCTAAGAGTGTGTGGGGAAAGGATGGTTGGTGTGCCTGCACACTTCGGAGGCTCACACAGATACCGCAGACCACCCATCTCGTCCCTTCCTGTGACCATGTGCACCTTCCTCTTCCAGCCATTCCTTTCTTTTTTTAAGTCTGTTTGTCTCCAATATTACGTTTTTGTTTTCCAGTTTAATAAAATATGGTTTCCTTTGTGGTGTGGTTGGCTCTTCCCCTCTCACATTGATCTTGTCCACCTGTCCCCTTTGACTTCTGCACTTGGTGTCTCTGAAGGCAATCTGAATCTCAAACTCATGGCCGTGTGGGTTTTGTTTGATCCTTTGTGTAATTCAGTTTTGGAAAGGGATTATGGGTGGGATGAGATCAAAGATGTTCAGGGAGTGGCTGGGCTATACTGTGTGGATAATTATTTGTGTTTGTCTCCAACAAGTACAATTGTGAGCAAAGAAGCATTTGTAAAGCAAGCTTAGGATTTGGAGAGATGACGGGTCCTTAGGCCATCTCTGTACCCACATCTACCCTTTTTTGCTGCATATTAATTAGCAATCTGTCCTACAGAAACCACACAACCCTTCTTTCTTGCCCCATCCCTTTTCCGTAACCCACAGAGGCTTAAAGAATGGAATGTGGGCTCTCAGGTAGAGAGAGTCACGGGCAGGCATCTAGATCAGGCCTGGGTCACTGGCAGGATAGAGGCTCTAAATAGCAGCCTTGCTTATGTGAAGCTAGACACGTCACCAGAAATTCAGAAATAGCAGCGGCCTGGGAGCACACCCAGAGGTAGGGTGTACCGCTGGACTGCCTGCCACTGGAATCTGGCTCACCCTTTCTTCCTTGTCCCCTCAGGACCTTGACTGCCCACCTGATTCTTGTCTCCACCCTCATGGAAGCAACAGCTTTTAGACTTTCTCATTGGCTTTTCTGGGCATGCTGGATATGGATCCTTCCCCCAAAATTGTTTTTAGGCCAGTCTGGTATAGGAGGGGTGAGTTACTCCCCCATGTATGTAGATACAGTAACACAAACACCATCCGAATGGATTTAGGGTACTGGGGTGTTTCTCATACTTGTTTATGAGTAACTGTATAGACAAGTCCGGTCAGCTGCTGCTCACAATTGCTGAGTAATAACTCACTGCGGCTGCCTAGACAAAGCTGCTAAAGGGGCGTGAGTGAGACGGGCTCCTCAGTAAACATCCTGTTCTCCCCCCACGTAGAAGAAAAAACTCCATGCGTCAGGTTAAAAGAGCAAGTCAAGTGCAGTGTAAACCATCAAATTCTGACTGCTGGGGGAGAACAGGAGGAACCTCCTATGTTTATGCGTTTGAGAGGAAGGGGATAAGGCTGAGATCTATGTAGAAATTGACGCTGCCGTTACCTGTGGTTCCTTTATTTTTTCCTTGCCCTTTGTGCTCACTGTGGCCAGAGTCAAAAGTGGCGAATACAGATGTGGGTGGAAGGGCTGGTGAGCAGTGCCAACAGAGAGGACAAATCCAGGCCCCAGCTTTTTGTGTTTGACTCAAAGGGGTGTTGGCTAAACCAGTCCACCCTGGATCTGTTGGGGTTTGTAGCAAATTCAATGTTCCAGAACGTCCTGATTTTTCTTATTACTTCCTTATGTGTTTTTTAAGCCTCACCAACGGATGTTTATTGATTTGAGGGAAAGATAGAGAGAGAAACATTGATGTGAGAGACAGATTGGTTGCCTCCCATACCCGCCCTGACCAGGGATTGAACCCACAACCTAGGTATGTGCCCTGACCAGAAATCAAACCCCAAATCTTTTGGTGCACCTGGCAAGGGCTCCCTCCCCCCTTTTATTTTAATATGTTTTTATTGACTTTTTAGAGAGGAATAGATAGAAACATCAATGAGAGAGGAACATCATTGATTGGCTGCCTCCTGCACGGCCCCCACTGGGGGATCAAACCCACAACTGAAATACGTGCCCTTGACCGGATTTGAACCTGGGACCCTTAAGTCCACAGGCCGATGCTCTACCCACTGAGCCAAACCAGTTAGGGCAAGGGCTCCCCTTACTTTTGAGAATTACTTTGCTGCGTAATTTGTGGAAAAGAGATGAGGACTTGAGACCTCTTACATTTTTCTTGGGGTAACGCAGTTGAAATGCATGGAGAGACAGGAGATGGGTGGCACCCTGTGCCTCAGTTTTGCCCTCCCCTGGCTAGGAATTCTTTGCACCTACACAAGACAGTTCAGGCCCCATATCTCCTAGGCAGCCAGGCATTGCCAAAGGCAACAGAGACTAGTAAAGGATGGATTCGAAATCTTGGTTACTGGGGAGTGGACCTTAATTGCCTTCTGTAGATGTGTCTAGGACCTTCTTTTGGAGTACTTTGATCTTTCCTTTGTTTTTTACGTCAGCATCGAACCTCAGTTGACATCCCTGCACTGGTTCCTGTGTTTGGGAGACTTCTCTGTTTTTCCTTTGAAGGGTCGTTTAAGAGGCGGCGGGTAGAAGTGGCTGTTTCCTTGTTTCTCTTCTATAGACTCAGGAGATGTCTTGGGGAAGGGAACTAGAGAATTTAGGTGCACCCAAGGCTTTGTTTTCAAAGCCAAGTTCAACTTATTTCCATGCTCTTAATAGGAAGCTTTCCCCCCTTTATTTACTCAGCAAATTTGGTTGAACTTTTTCTCTCTTCATGGCATCTTAAAGCAATGTTACAGTAAAAAGCTTGGCCCCATCCTAGATCTTTATCACTAAGGGAAAAAGCTTTTTAATAAACCAAAACTCCCCATACCACCTGCTGTACCTTTAGACACTTGGCTAATTGGGTGAGCCTCAAAAGCATTTGGTGGCAATGATATAAACCTTTATATATTTTATCTTCTTAAATTTATCTTTTTTACCTCCAATATCTTTTTTGTCTCTTTGATGCAGGGAATTTTTGCTTCTAAGAGCTAAGATAGATTTGGAAGTATGTGTTCATCTGATGATAAGTGGGAAATGTTCTTTACCTTCAGTGGAGAGCATTCTTAGATATAAGATTATAACAACAATACCACCTCAACGCTTTAGCTCACTTTAAGATGTCTATTTTAAAAGTGAAGTAAAACTGAGAATCTCCCAAAACTTGATTAAGGGTCTAGGATACCCTTAACTGAGGATTCCCTTTTCCCTAGACTTCTGTGAAATCTGGCATTATTTCTTGAACACTTCTTTTTCCTTATCTTTAGTCTGCTAGAAAAAAATTTCTTGGCTTTTTATTGGACTCCTCTCTCCAACCTATATATGAAAGCCTTTTGGGCCCCAAACGCTCCAAGTAGTGTACCTGGAGAGCAAGCGGAGCCGTGCTACCAAACATGATGCATTCCGACTCAACTCTTCTGGTGTCTAAGAGGCAGCAGAGCATGGCATAGTATATAGGCTTTGGATTCAGAGATTGGGACTTCTCTGAGGGTAATTTTCCATGTTATAAAGGGAGCATAAGAAGAGCTACTACTTGTCAGGGTTTTTTCTAGGAATTAAGATAGTGAAGACAAGCACTCGGCACATAGGAGGTGTTCAGTGATACTCTGTATGGAAATAAGAGCACTTTTAGGGATGCTTCCCAGGCAGGCTAACTGGTTAAAATTCCCTGAGGCTGAGACAGAGTAGGCATAGTTCAGAAATGGTAGCAGAACCGGCGATGAACGAATTGGCCTTAGCTAGCTTGCTTTTGCTGGCTTGCTTGCGACAGAAGGAGAAATTGAATAACTTGAAATTCCTTCATTGCAGCACTGGTTACATAGGCGATGATGTAGTTGTTGATTGATCAGCATCCCACACACAGCTCAGTGCTTTGCACGTAGTGAGTAGCCAGTAAATGTTTGAGGGATGAGTATAGGAAGCTGCCATAATAATGGAACTTACTTATTCCATCATCTCTCTATTCTCCACACACAGAAAGGACAAGGTAGAATGATTAAAAAATGTGTGTCAGTATATGTACCCTTTGGAGTTTCAGCTCAATACAATGATTGGTACATTCTTAATTCAATAATTTATTGAGCACCTGCAATGTAACACTCCTGTCCTTTTTGGTGCAGAGCTATGGAAAGAATTCTGCCTCTTTTTCACACTTTGTGAATGCCACTTATAAATCCTCACTTACCTTTTCCCAGACACACACACACGTGATATCCCTTTTCCACAGTCTTATTTCTTTTTGTATTTCAGGGTGTCTAACATGTAAGAAGATGGAGCCAAGATCTAGAATGGTGCCTGTGACTCAGATCAACTGCTGTCTTTCCCAGACAGAACCTCTGGCCTCCGGAAACCTAGATTAAACAGCTCTTTTCTGACAGCTCTTCCTCCTGAGTCCTTGATTCCATCACCACTGGAAACTTGAGCACCAACTCTAACCACCCCCACCCCCAGGTGAGGGCACCAATGGGAATCACTGAGAACCTCACAGCTGGCTCCAAGTCCACGTTCCCTCTCACTTGACTAAAATCTGACTGAGATTTTGTTTTTACTGTGCAAGAAAATAAATATGCCTAGTCCTGTATCCTAGATATAGTATGGAAAGAGAGAAGAAGGATAAAGGAAGTTGAAAGCCAGAATGGGGATGAGAGGCAAAGGTCTTGCGTAGGAAGCAGAGAGCCAAGATTCTGGGTCAGGCACCTCTTTCTGAAGTAAACACTATTGCCAGTGGTGAAAAGCACAGGACTTGGATTAAATCCAGAATTAGCACTTAAACTGTTTGACTTTAAATCACTTACCTTCTCTGATTTTACTAGTAAATTTCTCATCTATAAGATTTAGAGGTCTCCTAGGTCCCTCTTAAGCCCCATGAGTCTGAAGGGACTCCAAGAAGTGCTCTCTGCAGATGCTCTGCTCCGGCTCTTTTTTTTAAAATTTATGCATATATATATAAAATTGATTTTTTACAGAGAGGAAGGGAGAGGGACAGAGAGTCAGAAACATCGACGAGAGAGAAGCATCGACCAGCTGCCTCCTGCACCCCCCCCCCCCACTGGGGATGTGCCCGCAACCAAGGCACATGCCCTTGACCGGAATTGAACCCGGGACCCTTCAGTCCCCAGGCCGACGCTCTATCCAGTGAGCCAAACCGGCCAGGGCTGCTCCAGCTCTTAAAGCTGTTATATTAATTTATTCTAGTGGTTTGTCCGTACTGTTGCCCATTACCTTATACCAGGGGTCCTCAAACTTTTTAAACAGGGGGCCAGTTCACTGTCCCTCAGACCGTTGGAGGGCCGGACTATAGTTTAAGAAAAAACTATGAACAAATTCCTATGCATATTGCACATATCTTATTTTGAAGTAAAAAAACAAAACGGGAACAAATACAATATTTGTATTTGCATGTGGCCCGCGGGCCGTAGTTTGAGGACCCCTGCCTTATACCATGCATTATATTAGATGATTCACATAAAATAAACGTCAACAATTGGGAGCAACACTATTATTCCCATCTCATAGATGAGCAAACTGAAGCATAGAAAAATAAATAATTTAACCAGAATTACATAGTGAATGGCAGGCAGATTCAGGATTTACAGTAGGTCCGTTTGGTTTCAAATCTATGCTCCTAAGTGTTTCCTATTTGCTAGTAAAGACTATGTAAAAATACATACGTGGTTAATTGGAAGTTACTGACTACCCTTTCTGGTCCGTTTTTCTCCCACTCTCACTCCAGAGTTTTCTTGCTCGTGTCCTCAAACCCTCAGGACCTCTTATTGCTACTTTGGGCTGAAACTGCAGGCATCGGATTGCCGGTGTAACCGTGTAAGTCTTCCGATTGGCCGGAACCACCCACATCGCTGCTGTTGCTGTGTGGGGTGGACGTACCTCTTCTCATTTCCTGGGGGTGGTCCCAGGCTAGAGTGGCAGCTGTAGTAACCAATAGGCATGGGTATTGTTGGGCCAGGGGCCAATGAGGAATCCCCTGAGGGAGAAGGGGATCATTTGGTTGAGGATGTAAGCACCGGAGGAACATGGGGCTGTACCAGAGGTGGCGGCGGCTCCGGCTCCCAGGGTTACAAGCCTGCGGGCTACACACGGCGCTTGAGGTACCCCAAAGTTCCGAACCCCCCAAAGCCCAAGGTGTAGGTTCTCAACCCAGCCTGACCCCCCTGCTCCCGCCCTGAGTCCCGAACCGGCTACTCTGGCCTTTTTTTAAAATTAATATGTTTTTATTGATTTCAGAGAGGAAGGGAGAGAAAAGAGGGATAGAAACATCAATGATGAGAGAGCATCATTGATTGGCTGCCTCCTGGACGCCCCACAATGGGGATGGAGCCCACAATCGGGCATGTGCCCTGACCGGGAGTTGAACCATGACCTCCCGGTTCATAGGTGATGCCCAACCGCTGAGCCACTGCGGCCGCCGTTTGAAGCGCTTTTTCCCAGGGTCAACCGCCGGCGGAGCCAGGACTCCTAACGTAGGGCCCTGGAGCATCCATTCCTTTTAAAGCAGTGGTTCTCAGCCTTGGCTGCACATTAGAATCACCTGGAAATCTTTTAAAATCCTGATTTCTGGGCCCCATCCTCCGGAAATTCTGTTTCTTTGTTATGGGGTGGGGCCACAACATGAGTAACAACGAAACAGAATTTCCGGAGGATGAGGCCCAGAAATCAGGATTTTAAAAAGATTCCCAGGGGATTCTAATGTGCAGCCAAGGCTGAGAACCACTGCTTTAAAGACTAGAGATTAGGACCCGGCCACTTCAGTGCCCTCATCTCCCACCACCCCCAGTCCCAGGAGTAACTGACGGGGCGGGACGGTGTTGCCTCCTAACGTCTGTCCCTCCAGGCAGCTGTGCCGGCGCCGCCAGCCTGCTTGGTAGAACGGCTTGGCCTTTTTGAGGCGCTCTGGGCTGCGCAGGTGAAGAGGTTAGCAGGCTTGGCGCAGAAGGAACCCCGGACTATTAGGGTCGCGCTCCCCGGAGGACGGAGAGTGGAGGCGGTGGCATGGAACACAACCCCTTACCAGCTGGCCCAGCAGATCAGGTACCAGGCCCCGTCTCTACCTGCCAGTATCGCTCTCCCCCTCTGCGTCCGCTGCACCCGAGCGGAGAGAAAACGCTGCTTTCTCTGTTCCACGCCATCAAGGTGCTTTAACCTCCGGTGCGGTTTTTTACGTGTTAGTTTCAGAGCCTCTGTCCTTGCTCTGTTGTCCTCGGGGGAGGAGGGAGGAGGGAGGAGAAACAGTAGGTTCTATTGCTCTGGTAACACAGTCCCCCTTTGCAAGTTGAGTCCCTCTTTTTCCATGTGGATTGTAACCCTCTCATTTTCTTCATCTCCACCCCGTCCCCGTTGTTGAAGTGCAACCCTGGCAAATACCGCAGTGGCCGCCCAAGTGAACGGGGAGCCTTATGATCTGGAGCGGCCCTTGGAGACAGATTCTGACCTCAGATTTCTGACGTTTGATTCTGCAGAGGGGAAAGCAGTAAGTGTCTTCTTCGTCACAAATACAGTGGCTGCTAAACTGAGATATTTAAGTGGGTGTTTCTAACATTTCTTTTGCCTGAGTTTTTCCATTTTCACTTGGGAGGGAGACTTACCGCAGATGGCTTATCTTAACTGTTCCTAGCTAAGCTGGAAACGTATGATGAAAGTTTTTACTCAGCCTAGGTCTCTCACAAGCAGACATCATTTGTGTTAGTGAAAGGGAGAAGTAATAAGCTGAAAACAGGAGGATATTGAGATGCCCAGTATAAGTGATCTGTAGCAAATATTTAATTTTAACGTGGCTTCCACAACTGAGCATAACAACCACGCCTCGTCCCCACTTTGTCCTCTTCCTGTCAGCTTAGGTAATGTGGACCTCATGTATTAGGATGCAGAAAAATTGAGTTCTCATGTCATTTATTTACAAATGACCAAATCCGAAAGCAGTGGTTGCATCACACTGGACTCCTGGGCTAGGGGGCAAGAAAAAGGACCCAAAGACTGAGCGGAGCCTTTAAGAGGCAGTCTTGCCGGAGTAGTTCACTCTGAAGCCCTGTGAGATGTTACAGGAGAGCAAAGGAAGCGGCCCGGCTTCCTCTGACCAGCAGCCCTGAGGAGTGGGGTAGGGGGTATGCTCTTCTGTGCACCGATCCTACTGACCTCTGCTTTCTTTTCTATTTTTTTTCCTTGTCACTATGTAATGGTCACCACCTCTGGGTTATTGACAGTTATTCCTAGAAGAGCCATACTGGTTTCACACCAGCTTCTTGGAGGAGAGGATCCAGAGCGAGGGGGTAAGGGAGAAGGTTAGGACTCATGAACTTCTTTCCTGTGAACCCAGGTGTTCTGGCATTCCAGCGCCCATGTCCTGGGGGCAGCGGCTGAACAACTCCTAGGTGCTGTCCTCTGCCGAGGACCCAGCACAGAGTGTGGCTTCTACCATGATTTCTTCCTGGGAAAGGAACGGTGAGCAGTGCAAGGAAGGGGGAGAATGATGGTTTCTTTTATGAGACTTCACCTTTTCCCCCAGGTGTTTTTGAGGTATAATTGACAAAATTGTAGTATTTTTAAAGTGTGTAGTGTGATCATTTGATATTCGTATACATTGTGAAAGGATTCCCACAATCTAGTTAACTAACCCATCACCTCGCATTTTTTGTGTTGTTTTTTTGTTAATCCTCACCTGAGGATATTTTTTCCATTGCTTTTCATGAGGAGTGGGAGAGAGAAACATAAATGTGAGAGAGACATGGACTGGTTGCCTCCTGCACACATTCTCACTGGAGATGGGGAGCAACCCTGTAATTCAGGTACGTGCCTGGGACCAGGAATCGAACCTGAGCCCCTTTGACGCTCTAACCACTGAGCAACCAGCTGGGACAACCTCACCTTTTTTTTTTTTTTTTTTTTTAAATATATATCTTTATTGATTTCAGAGAGGAAGGGAGAGGGAAAGAGAGATAGAAACATCAGTGATGAGGGAAACATCATTGATTGGCTGCCTTCTGCACACCCCCTACTGGAGATCAAGCCTGCAACCCAGGCATGTGCCCTTGATCAGAATCGAACCTGGGACTCTTCAATCCATAGGCCGACGCTCTTTCCACTGAGCTAAACGAGCTAGGGCACAACCTCCCCTTTTTTATTGTGAGAACACTTAAGGTCTGTTAGCAAATAGCAAATTTCAACTATACAATACAGAATTATCAAAATTATCAACTATAGTCACCATGCTATGCATTAGCTCCTCAGACCTTATTCATCTTATAACTGAAAGGTTGTACCCTGTTATTGGAGTGGTTTCTGAGGCCCTTTTCTGGGGTCTAGGGCATGTTCAATTTGGAGGAGCAAGCTGGGGGAAGGCCTCCAGGCCTGGTACGTTCTTTTGGTACCACCTTCTCCATTAGTCCATGTTCTTTCTCTTCTAATTCTGCTTGAAACATCTTCTCTAGCCTTTAGGAGTTCTTCAACTTTTATTTCATTCTCCATTACTATTGCTTTAATTTTGTCCATCCAGATTGCCTGCACTCAACTTTTTTTTTTTTTTAATATATTTTATTGATTTTTTACAGAGAGGAAGGGAGAGAGACAGAGAGTCAGAAACATCGATGAGAGAGAAACACCGATCAGCTGCCTCCTGCACATCTCCTACTGGGGATGTGCCCACAACCCAGGTACATGCCCTTGACCGGAATCGAACCTGGGACCTTTCAGTCTGCAGGCCGACGCTCTATCCACTGAGCCAAACCGGTTTCGGCTGCACTCAACTTTTAAAAATATATATATTTTTATTGATTTTAGAGAGGGAGGAAGAGGGAGAGAAATGTTAATGATGAGAGAAAATCATTGATTGGCTGCCTCCTGCATGCCCCCCTACTGGGGATGGAACCTGCAATTCGGGCATGTGCCTGGGAATCGAACCCGGGACCCTTCAGTCTACAGGCTGACTGAGCCAAGCCAGTTCGGGCTGCACTCAACTTTTAATTTCATACATAGAGCATTTGCTCCAGCTATAAAATTTGTACCTGATTTCCTGTTAGAGCAAATAATTCTAGATGTTTCTGGAGGGCAGGATTTCACCCCCTAGCCAACAGGTATGCCACCCAGGTGATGCTTCTTAGAGGGTGCAAACCAACCAGTTCTCATCTTCCCAGGACTATCCGGGGCTCAGAGCTGCCTGTTTTGGAGCGAATTTGCCAAAAACTTGCAGCTGCTGCTCAGCCCTTCCGGAGGCTAGAGGCTTCCCGGGATCAGCTTCGCCAGCTCTTCAAGGTGGGTTGGAAACACACAGTTTTAGGAGGAGACCAGAGGCCTGCGGGACGAGGTGGCTCTCCCTCATCAGTCCCAGAGGTGATGGGATCAAAGCTTGTCTTCACTCATCCCTTCTTCCAGGATAACCCTTTTAAGCTCCGCCTGATTGAGGAGAAAGTGACGGGTCCGACAGCAACAGTTTATGGGTGAGAGTGGTCAAGACGGAGAAATGGGGAGGTGGGGCGGCACTGACAAGGCCAGAGGGGCTACGGGAAAGGAGACAGAAGCTAATCTGTTGCTCCGGAAAAAGAAAGGGGACTGGGAATTGATTTTTATCCCCGTTGCTCTCTCTGTGGAACACGTTTCTTTACTTCCTCTTTCCGTCAGCTAAAGGCCAGGAGAGGGAGAAAACTAAAAACTCGGGAATTTGGAGACCACTAATGGCCCCTCTTCCTCCCAGGTGTGGCATGTTGGTGGATCTTTGCCGGGGCCCCCACCTTCGGCATACTGGACAGATTGGAGGACTGAAGCTGCTCACGGTCAGTTGTGGGGACAGGGCTAGGCGGAAATTCCCGTTTTCACTGGAGTAGCGGGGGGATGCGAAGATAGTTCTCTCAGCCCCATCCATGCTCTGACAGTGAGCAGGGAGTCCAGAGGGAGAAAGACACTTAGTCCCTGCCTTCTAGAAACGGAGTCTGATGGCAGATACTGGACACAGGAACCAACTCAGTTTCCATAATTGGACATCAACGCTAAGGGAGACGGGGTGGGAGGGCGTGGACAGGCTGGACAAGGTCTTACACGGCCGGCTCCTGTGGGTAGAGAAGGTGGGGAATACTGTTCGACAGGCACGGGGAGAATACTCTAAGTCAAGGGCGTGTCTTTTATGAAAACACTGTTTCTGGGCAAGGTGAGTTATTAGAATGGGAGCAGAGGGCGAGGGGAGAGGCAGCTAGGTAGAACAAAAAGCGCCGGACTGAAACCCTGGCCCTGCCATTAAGGACGTGTGTGGCCTGGGTACATCTCCTTACCTATTTTCCCATCTATTGAAAGAAGAGACGGTTAATTCTGCCAGTAAACCCACACCCAGAGCCAGAACCAACGAATGCAGGAGGAAGTGTTTGAGGGAAAGTTAAAAGTGCTATAAAGTGCAGGCTGTTTCTTATTAGTACTGTTCACGGAAAGGGCAAGCAGAGGCAGGTGATCTCACGGGCCAGAGATAGGGAAGAGTGTGGGAGGTTGGTAAGGGGGTGGGTGGATGACACTTGACCAGATCCTCAGGTTAACCTCCTGAGCAATCATTGATTAGAAGGGGAGGAACGAAGGCCAGGGGTGCTGGCAGGCAGCAGTGAGATTGCTCAGGATAATGTTAGGCCTGAGTGGGACGTATGTAGAAATCAAGAACCTGGCCCTTTGAAGGCTATGAGCATCACCTGCGCTGTCTGAAGGACCAGCCTGTGGTGTTGGTGGGAAAGTGGTGCATAACTGTGAAGCTCACACTGAGGTTTGCCAGAGAGGTCGGGTGGCTTCAGCCTCATCTTCGCATGGACTGCCTGTGCCCCCCGCAGAACTCGTCATCCTTATGGAAGGCCTCAGGGGCCCCCGAGACGCTGCAGAGGGTGTCTGGGGTTTCCTTCCCCACAGCAGAGGAGCTGAGGGCCTGGGAAGAATGGAGGAAGGAGGCAGAGTCACGGGACCACCGGCGCATCGGGAAGGTGCAGGGATTGGGGAGGGGGGAGGGGGGCTGATGGGAAGGGTTGGGACAAGGTGAAGGAACGTGATTGTGACGCTGGGAGCAGACTCAGAATCCAGCAGACTGAGCGGCTCCATCCCTGTTTCCTCTGGTGCCAAAGCCCCTGCTTCCCCCGTGAGGTGACACTGCCATTCCCGACCAGGAACAGGAGCTCTTCTTCTTCCATGAGCTGAGTCCCGGGAGCTGCTTCTTCCTGCCCCGGGGGACGAGGGTGCACAATGCCCTGGTGTCTTTCATCAGGGTAAGGGGGACCCAGCCAGGGAGGAAGACCAGGGAGGGGCTGGGGGCCTAGAAGAAGTCAAGTGTTAAAAGGGGGATTAGAAGCATAAACATAAATATTGTAAAGTGCTGGTGATTTTTATTGAGATACTAGAAATGTGTGGTCTACATTGGGGAACATAGAGAGTTAATATGGTATTTAGTAGGTTGTGATCAGCATGACTGAGGGCCCAGGAGAATCACACAGCTGCCCCCTCCCTTTCCCTCCCCCAGTCACTTTGACCTTCCATGTCTGCCCCCTCCTTTCCAGGCCGAGTACACCCGCCGTGGTTTCTCAGAAGTAAAAACACCCATACTGTTTTCTACGAAACTCTGGGAACTGTCGGGACACTGGGAGCATTATCAGGAAGACATGTTTGCCCTGCAGTCCCCAGGCTCTGACAGGCCCACCAGCTCCCAGAGTGACCACTCTACCAGCCATCCCACAGACACGCTCGCCCTCAAGCCCATGAACTGCCCTGCACACTGGTGAGCTGGAGCCAGAGGCCTGGGTCCTCCAGGGCTGAGGCCAGGCACCCAGGCTGCTAAATATTAAGTGACAGGAAGCATCTGGGAAGAGTACTGGGCACCTGATTGGAGTCTTGAATCTGCCTCTAGCTGACCATGTGAATTTGGGAAGATCATTGTACCACTCTAAGCCTCAGTGTCCTTATGGTAACATCAAGGGTTTGGAGTTGCTGCCCAAGGTTTTTTTCCCAACTCAGCGCCTGTCACAGCACAGGCGCACAGTAAATGATGTCTGTTGTTACTGAGAAAATCCCTTTGAGTCACACAGGGCTCCGACTGTGATGATGGGGATTGGCAGGACTCAGGCCACGGCAGGCCGGAGGGGTCCTTAGCCGATGGTGCGGGGAGAGGAAGCACACCCACTGGGCAGAGGAGAGTTCGGGAGCTAGTTCTCCCTGTGGCACTGACCCCTTCCCACCCCAATCTCAGCCTGATGTTCGCCCACCGGCCCCGATCCTGGCGAGAGCTGCCCCTGCGACTGGCAGACTTTGGTGCCCTTCACAGGGCCGAGGCCTCGGGCAGCCTGGGAGGACTGACCCGGCTGCGGTGCTTCCAGCAGGATGATGCTCACATCTTCTGTGCACCGGACCAGGTGGCTCCCCTGCTCCATCAGGCATTTCTAACCTCCGCCCTTCCCCCATGAGCCACCAACATTCCTGACCTCAGTTGCCCTCTTTAGATATTACAGTTCGGCTACGTGCTATCCCCAACTTTCCTCTATGTTTTTGCCCTCTGTTTGCCCCAAACCACCCTCACCCCAGAGCTCTGTCTAGCTCACACCCTCCCTCCGACTTCCTCCCCAGCTGGAAGCAGAGATCCGGGGCTGCCTGGGTTTCCTCCGCTCCGTCTATGCTGTCCTGGGCTTCTCCTTCCGCCTGGCACTGTCCACCCGGCCGGCTGGCTTCCTGGGAGAGCCCTGCCTCTGGGACCAGGCTGAGCAGGTGAGCAGGTGGTAGGGGATCGGGTGGGTGAACCCCTCTCCGATGGAAGGGGGACAGTTGGGAGTCAGGGTCCTCAGGAGAGGCGTGTGTGGAGGCGCTCGTTGCGGGGTTGGAGGGATGTGTTGCTCATGGTCCTCTTGTTTCACTCCCTCTAAAGGTCCTTCAACAGGCCCTGGAAGGGTTTGGAGAACCCTGGGACCTCCACCCTGGAGATGGTGCCTTCTATGGGCCTAAGGTAAGCTGGGGACTTTGATAGAGTTTCATTTTTTGTTTTATTAAGTGTTTAATAGATAAAAGGGAATTTTTTAAACTTGTGTATAAAGAGGAGTGATGCAGTCCCTACCCCCATGGGACTTACTGTCTGTGAGGACTGTGGGTGGCAGGCGCTAAGGGAGCTTGCTATTCAGGAGGGTCGGAAAGGCTTCCTGCAGGACTCTTTCTAATGCGAAACATGATTGTTGGCCAAGTAAAGAGGTGTTTCAGGAGGGAGAGTGGAGGCAAGGCTGGGGGAGGGTGGGAACTGACTCACGTGGCCAGTTGGAAGAAGTGAAAGAATCAGGGAGGAGGGGAGAGAACTGAAAAGTTTATCTGCTGTGTTTAGTGAAAAGGCTGTTAGTTTTTGTTGGTTGGTTGGTTGTTACCAGTGAATGTATTTGAGAAATCAGAATTACATGCAGACAGAAAAAAATTGGTTATTAAAACCACTACATTATAAAATTTTTTGCAATGTTTTAAACATTTCCAATCATGCAAGTAATAAAGATTTTAAAAACTGTATAGCCAGGCCAGTGTGCTCAGTGGTTGAGTGTAGACCTATGAACTAGGAGGTAATGGTTCGATTCTAGGTCAGGGCACATAACAGGTTGCAGGCTGGATCCCCAGTGTGGGGTGTGCAGAAGACAGCCGATCAATGATTCTCATTATTGATGTTTCTATCTCTCCCTCACCCTCTCTGAAATCAATAAAAAATAACTTAAAATAAAAAATTCATGAATGGCAAAGAATACTGCCTCAAAACATACTGAATTCATATATGTTAATAGTACCATAATGAATTCATGCTAGATATAAACTCAGGTTACCAATTAGGTTGTAGCAAATTTTAGAGCTATTTTTTTAAAATATATTTTGTTGATTTTTTTACAGAGAGGAAGGGAGAGGGATAGAGTTAGAAGCATCGATGAGAGAGAAACATAGATCAGCTGCTTCCTGCACACCCCCTACTGGGGATGTGCCCGAAACCAAGGTACATGCCCTTGACCGGAATCGAACCTGGGACCTTTCAGTCTGCAGGCCGACGCTCTATCCACTGAGCCAAACCGGTTAGGGCTAGAGCTATTTTTATAAGACAAATAAATGTACTTCATGATAAAGGCACAGCAGGATCTAAAAAAAATGATACATTTATCACAAAATTCAAACTCCCTTAACCATTCAAACTCCCTTAACCATTAACAACCCAGGACAGTAAAATTTTCTTGGAAACTTTTTTAGAGGCTTGATTTAACATGCCAGGAAAATGTTATTTTTCCATTAAGATACGTTATGAAAATTGACGTGAGGCCAGTTTCACACCTGAAATTAACAACCCCTAGCAAAAGTACCAGCTGCTAATAATGTTAACTTATATATAACTTAGCTACATGTTAAAATACACAACTGTTGGTGCAAATCTGCTCATAAAGGCAGTGCTCTGGATGTGTCTTCTCACAAACAGTGGGCAAACAGGTTTCATTATTAATGAATTCAACAATAATCCTGAATTCATTAAACAAGGTCCAACAATATGGTTTCTTCAAGAGGAATATCGAAGAATAAGAAATCTATAGTATACCGTGTGGGCAAAAGTGGGTTTTATGTTCCTTACAAACAACTGTGAGCCGCTTGTCCCCCACCCTGTATTTTGTAACGAGCAGTGAATTTCAGAACGTCCTGTTGGTTGGTGCTTAGTTTACCGAGGCTTGACCCCCACAGAGGCAAGTTATGTGACCCTTTGCATGTAGAACCTTTTTGTATATGTGGCAGCATGAAGCAGGGAGAGTCACAGACAAGAAAATTCTCATCATAACAGGCTAGGATTGACAGAGATGAGTGGATACAACAGGTAGTGGCAGCTTCTCTAACAAGCTCGGGCCAGGAATGTTCTGCTCAGCTGCAAGTGCGGTAACCTTTGGTGCAGCTCTGGTAAAAGCACTTGCCAGCAAAGCACATTGGTAAAAGCTTGCTGCTTCATGCAGCCCAAGAAGAGGCAGAGCAGTGAGCTGTGAGCAAGCGAGAAGCCACATTGCTGGGCCCAGTGGATTGGTCATCTGAATTGCACTGCGCCTGCCCCTTGAGGACGCTGTCTGGCACAGAAAAGAGCAGAGCTGGGTTTCTAGAAAGACCAGAGCGAAGGCGTAGCTCAAGGCTGTTAGGTTTTGCAGGCCCATTTTTGGTAAAGTGGAGAGTGAGGGTGGAGGAAGGGAGGGAATGAATGAACCTAACTCTTTCAAGAACTTTGGCTGTTACACAGGCAAAAGAGAATTACTAAGGGCCTGAGTAGTCAAAATGTTTATGAAGGGCGAGACTTGAGAATGTTTAAATGCTGTAATGAGAGGGTGCCTGTTGGGGTCAGGGAGGAGTTGAAGTTGTGGAAGGGGTTTCAGTGAGGGAAGTTCTACTGAATGTGGCTTTGAGAGTCCTCCACCAAAGGAACAACCTTTGCCATTCTTTGGGGCCTACAGAAAGGCTGGGGTAGGTGCAGGAAGTTCATAGGTGTGGTCATAGGATTTGAAACATTTCCCATCTCAAGATATTGTCTGAATTTTCCATGAAATAGGGGAAAAGGTCATTTGGTGAGATGGGAATGGGGGAGAGGCGTTTTCAGTGAGGGAGGTGAACACTGAAGAGAGAAGGGAAAGCTTGACAATCCTTGAGGAGAACAGGACACAGCTGGTCAAAGCAGCCACAGACTTGGGGGCAGCAGCAAGGGTCCAGCTGAGGTTGAAACAGGGACGTGGATGGCGTCAGTCGTTTTGCATCTGTGTGGTGTGCGCCATGTTGGGTAGCGCTGAGCCGTTCTGTTAAGAGCCAAGGAGGTGGGAGGGGAGGGTGCCACCAGGGGAGTTTGCCATGTGGATGTGATAGAGGAACAATGACGTCGGGAACCTGGGAGAGTGGGTACAACTGCCTAGGGAAGAATCAAAGGCGGGAGGGGCCTGTGAACTGGAAGAAAAAGAAGCATTAAGGAACCTAGACATTGAAGAGCTATTAGCAGGAGTAATTGTCAAAGCTAGAAAACCAAGAGACGTATCAGAGCAGGGTGGACCGTTCCAGAGGTGCAGCCATTCTGGGCAAGGACAGGACAAGGCTGTAGCCACAGTGTGGGTGAAGGTCTCTGAGATGAGGCGCTCGAGGAATTGAGAGGCCAGGGAGTGGACGGGTCAGTCATGTGGATGTGGGTGTCCCCTAATATAACACCACTGAGTCCCTGCCGGAGTCCCCGCTGAGCCAAGCAGAATCTGGCACAGCTGGGCGACAGTCTCTCAGAGCAGCCTGGGGCATAGGTAGGTGGAAAGGGGGTGGCACTGGCTCTGGTTTCTCGCAGGCCTCCCCTCTCTCCTTCAGATTGACGTGCACCTCCACGATGCCCTGGGTCGGCCCCATCAGTGCGGGACAATCCAGCTTGACTTCCAGCTGCCCCTGAGATTTGACCTCCAGTACAAAGGGTACAGAGCCTTGTCCGGACAAGTTCCCTTTTCCCGCGGCTGCCCATGGGATCACTGGAGAACAGCTTCCCCTTCTCCCTTTGGCCCTGAAAGTAACCAATCCTCCACACCCTCCCCTGCTGAGCCTGAATATGTCTATAAGAACTGGCAGGTGATCTTGATTGCACAATTTGTGCTACTTCCTCCATTCCATCCACTTTCCTTTTTCCCTCTAGGCGAGCCGGGGCCCTGGAGCGTCCAGTCCTCATTCACCGAGCAGTTCTGGGTTCTGTGGAAAGGATGCTGGGAGTGCTGGCGGAGAGCTGTGGGGGGAGATGGTGAGACCCCCGACTCCAGACTTCTGTTCTGAGTCAGGCATGACAGTGCATGCCCCAGACCCTGCCCCTTCAGGCTCCAGCTTCTGTTTCCTGCTCCAGTCTGCTCGCTGCAGCCACCCTCATGGTCAGAGCCAGAATGAGTCATTTGTTCTCTTCTTCTCGCCCAACCAGGCCACTGTGGCTGTCCCCATTCCAGGTGATGGTCATCCCAGTGGGGACCGAGCAGGAGGACTATGCCAGGGAGGTGAGGAGTTGGGGGCCAGGACAGGGCTGAAGCAAGACTAATAGGAACCTGAGCAAACGCCTAGGAAGAGACCACCTGGGGTGGGAGAGGCGCAAGCACTTGGAACCACAAGGCTGGGCTCAGATGGCTGCTGGCCTGTGTGCTGGGAATTCCATACCTGAGAAACAAACTGGTCCCTCCTGGTGGAGATGTGTGACAATTAAATCAGCTTACATGAAAGGCTGACAACAGAGCACAAAAAGGGGTTGGATAAATGTTGCTTTTCCTTTGCTTTCTAGAGAGAAGTAAGGCTATGGGCTGTCCCCGCATCAAGCAGCTGGTTGGGTAGAGTGTAGCCAGAAGCAGGCAGGCCAGGGAATCTGCAGGCTGGGCTCCAGCAGGAGGCAGGCAGAAGCCGCGGGGCGAGGGCAGGGCCTCCGTGTGGAGACAGTGAGGAGGGGTGTCTGTGAGACCCCGAGAGCCTTGAGGCAGAGGAAGGGGGAACAGATGGGGCTTTGGTATCAGACTGTTCTACTCCTCAACCTTCCATTAAATTAAGTTCCTATCACCAATCCTCTGCCCAGGTACAGCAGAGCCTGCAGGCGGCGGGGCTGGTCGGAGACCTGGACGCTGACTCCAGGCAGACCCTCAGCCGGAGAGTCCGCGGGGCCCAGCTCGCCAACTACAATTTTCAGTTTGGTGAGTGACAGCTCAAGCACCCGCCCTGTACACTGTCCTCATTTTTATTAAGTTTGGTCATCTGCATATTTGGCTTAATTGGGGTTCAGTTCCTGAGCTGGACAGGAGCCAGGATTCAGGATGCCTAAGCCATTTGGACCATAGTTTTCTTCACCCCGACAGCTACCTCTAACCCACAGAACAGTGTTCTTCTGACCCTTCATCGCTGTCTGTTAGGTTAATTCACCAAGGGTGTGCCAGAGAGAAAGGGACAGGAAGGGTTAATAAGGCCTTAATTAGTTAGCTTTGTTTATTCTAGACCTAGATGGAGTCAGCCCTCCTGGATGAGGAGAAAGGCCTTATGGAGACGAGTATAGCTCTGCCTGTTCCTTTTTTCATTTTCCAATAAAAGCCAGGAGCAGACAGTCCTCAGCCAGATAACCTGATTCTCTAGTTCTGCACACCCACTCGTGCTGCCAGCGCTTGGAGCAAGCTGCCCACAGCCCCGTGGACTCGCCGAGCCTTCCACCACTGCCACTTCCCCTTTCTCTCGTATTCACACACACAGGTGCACACACACTTCCTCTGGGTCAGCTGATCTTTGTCTTGCTCTGGCTGACCCCACTATCTCTGACCTCTGGGCTCCTGACCGGAAATAGCTTCTTATCTCCTCAGCACAAGCAGGGAGCTGAAGGGCAAGAACCAGTAAAATATCGGTCCCGTACCACATCTGGGCTTTGTTCTCACCCTTTCTAAAGATTTAGGTTAGATCTCTTCAGTTTCTGCATAGCAAAGGGAGACACCCCAGGTGGGTTACATCTGCCCTGAGATACCCACCCCCCTCTACTTGCAGTGGTTGGCCAGAAAGAGCAGAGCAACAGAACAGTGAATGTTCGGACGCGAGACAATCGTCGGCTCGGAGAACGGGACTTGACAGAGGCTGTGGGGCGGCTGCTGGAGCTGCAGAACACCAGGGTCCCAAATGCCGAGGAAATTTTCTGAGCGTTTGCATAGTCATGTGACAGACCTGCAGGAGCCACCAGCCTCTCCAAACACAGGAGGGGCCAACCTAACGGACAGTCTGGAGTCCCAGACCCTTTAGAACTTGTGTGGAGGCCTGAATCTCTTTGGAAAGAGATTTGTTGTGGAGGAAGCCACAGCTGCTTGCATGTGAGGAGAGCGAAACAGCATAATAAACCTAAAGCTCTAAGGTTGTGTGGTCATCTCTGACTCCTGATGGGGGATAAAAGGATTTTGACTTCGCCTCCCTCTCTTGTCCCAGGGTGATGGGGAGAGCGAAGAGGGACCGCCCCGCCTGGCCAGGTGCTCTGCTGGTTGGAGCATCATCCTGGGCACCGAAAGGCGGTGGGTTGGATTCCTGGTCAGGGCACATACCCAGGTTGCAGGTTCGATCCCTGGTTGGGGTGCACGCAGGCGGCAACCAATTGATGTTTCCCATATGGATGTTTCCCAAATTAAGGGACAACCAGGCTCTGGCCAGTTAGCTCAGTTGGTTAGAGTGTTATCCTGATGCACCAAGGTTGCAGGTTCAATCCCTGGTCAGGACACATAACAAGAATCAATGGATGAGTCCTAGCTGGTGTGACTCAGTGGATAGAGCGCCAACCCTGAGACTGAAGGGTTCCTGGGTTCAATTCCAGTCAAGGGCACGTACCTTGGTCGCAGGTTCCCCGGCCCTGGTCGGGGCTCATGCAGGAGGCAACCAATCCATGTTCTCTCTCACATCGATGTTTCTCTCTGTCCCTCTCCCTTCCACTCTAAAAAAAGCAATGGAAAAATGTCCTCGGGTGAGGATTAACAGCAACAAAAATCAACCAATGAATGCATAGACAAGTGGAACTAAACAATACTTCCCTCCCTCTCTCAAATCAATAAAAGAAAAAAATTAATAAAAAGGGCAGCCCAGGCCTCTCACTGGTTAGGGAGCCCCTAGGGTAGGTGTCCTGTTCCCACTCAACTCCTTAGTGCCCGTGTCCCCAACCCCAATTCAGCAGGTTGTCAGTTCCCTTCACCTGCAAACAGAGAAACTGAGGCACCAAATAAATGTTCAAACATCTTGGGGTCATAAAAATGTTCCCCTCTCATTACCCCCATTCTTCTCAATCCTCAGGATGCCTCAGGGTGAGTTTGGGAGGAGTGGCTGCCGGAGGGGGAGCAGCTGGGCCTGAGTCACGCAGGAAGCTGAGGAGGGCGGGAGCTGTGCCCACATCACCATATAAAAGGAAGGGGCCGGCCTGACCGCGGGAGCAGCAACCAGAGGAGCGGGTTCCCAGCAGCCCGGCCTCTGCTCCAGATCTACCTGAGGAGACACTTCCTGAGTGGCCACTGGCCAGTCCTTGCCCCAGGATGGGCACCATGTTCGGAGCAGCCTTGGTCTTGGCCTGTTTGGCTGTTACTTCTATGGCCTCTGAAGGAGGTGAGTTGGGGTTGGAGTGAGCCCTTGGGAAGGGGTCCTGGCCAGCGTGGGCCTGGGCCTGAGTCCAGCCATCCCAGGTGGCTCATCGCCAGCAGGTTGATTCTCCGATTGCTCCTGCTGTCAAGCAGGCCCAAGGTGGGCCTGGGACCGAAGCCCTGAACCAGGGAGGGCTCAGAGCACAGGAGGGGCTGCTAGAGGCTGCTGCTGCTCGAGATTGTGCCTAGTGATTGCTGCCAAGGAACCCAAACTTGGAGTCAAAGGCCACCTGGGGCGAGGGTGGGGAGGTGGACTCGCTGAGGGAGGCCTGTGCCTGAGGGAGGTGTATGTGGGACCAATTAGGCAGTGGAAAGTGGAAGGAGGGCCCCCAGGCGGCTCGAAACCAATTTGCTGACCTAGAGTCTGGACTACCTCCCTGCCTGGTTGGGAGAAGAGTTGAAAGGGTGCCCGTGCCCAGGGGACTGGACACAGCTGCCCTCGAGCACACACACCTGCCCCGCGTGGATGCTGGACAAACGCTCCCGCTCCCGAGGGAAGCTGTGGGGAGCAGCACAGCTCTCGTCTGTCTGCAAAGGCCCCTCTCGCTGCCCCTCCTGGGTCCTAGGCTTCGTGAGTGCAGGTCAGCCAGGCGGTTCCTTTCCCTGTGGCTGAGGGCGCTCAGCCTCAGTCCCGAGTCATCATCGCAGTGCCCCCTCCTCAATCGACACCTAAGCTGAGGAGGACCTGGGCGTAGCTAAGGGTGAAGGAAGCTTAGACTTCTGGGTAGGCGTCTGGTCAGAAGGCCCTGGAACAGGAGGGTCCTTTCCCTCTGAAGACGAGGGGAGCACCACAGCAGAGCGGCTGCAGGAGGGCTGCCCCGAAGTCCCGAGGGAGTGACCCTGACAGGAGAGGAGGGCCTCCCTCCCCGGCCCCATCCGTCCCCTTCTCTCAGGCCCAGGCTTGGGAGACCCTAGGCTGTGCGTCTGATGGGGGTGAGGCTGTCAGAGTATCCCGGGCTTGCTCAGAGCCCAGTGACGCACCCCAGGAGTGTTTGGGGGATGGATTAGCGGACATGGGGCAGGAGCAGTAAGGAGGGGCTGCTGGTGTCCTCGTCCTCTTTCCTGTGCTCAGAGCCAGGAAGGGCCTCTCAAAACCACCCTGACTCACCCTTCCTCACTCCAGGCTTCAAACCTTCAAGTCAGAGGGAGTTGGGGCCAGAGTACCTTCAAGAAGGTAAGAGTTTGGGGGAGGGGCATGGGATTAGGGGTCAAGTAGGAGCTGTAGGCACTGACTGTCTCCCTTCTCGCCTCTAGTTGGCTATGCAGCACCCCCTTCCCCACCCCTGACACGAGCCCGCCCCAGGGATCACCCTGACATCTCTCTGCATGACCCTGACTTTGCGGGACAGAGTGAAGGTAAGTCCACCCCTCCCCCCTCTGGGTATCGAGTCTGGCTTCCTGCCCCCCCACCCCCCACCCCCGTCTTCAGGGAGGGAGGGGAGAGCAGGCCTTGCCCTGTCTCCTCACCTGGCTCGAAGGAGTGGGCTCCTCACACATTCCCCTTTTGCAGTGCAGCCCTTTTCCTCCTTTGACCAAGAGGAGCAGCTGTTCTCTCCCCAGCTCCTTGTGAGGAGTGGTGAGTGCTGGCCCATTTCTGCGCCTCCAGCCCACTATCCTCTTGCTGGCATCAGTCTGATCCTTGTCCTTTGTGTCCTGCCCCTCAGGATCCCTCTCTCTCTTGGGAAGCCAGGCAGAGGATCCCACTGGCCCCGGGAGAGCCGTCCCTGTCCAGGAAGAGCTGCCCCCTCCCCAGGGCCCTATTGAACAGAAGGAAAGTAAGTGACTCCCTCTTCTCTTTACCCTTCGGCCTGCCCCTGGCTTTGGGGGCTCTGCCACTGACTAGCTGTGTAAACGTGGGTAAGTCACCTCTCCAAGCCTTAGCTTCTTCATCTGTCCCATTGGGGAAATAATACCTATTTTATAAAGTTAGGAGATCAACTGGCATAAGAATAGAAACTATTTTCACTTGCTTCTCTACTGAGTCCCTCTCTATGAATAGGAACTGGCCAGGTACCCCCCTTTTAGAGAGCGCCTTCCCAATGTGAGTTTTGCTTACGCGTCTTCTCCCACCTCAGTGGACGCACCACCGTTCCCAGCACAGGAGGAGAGGACCAACCCACCTAAGCAGGGAGAGGGTGAGTGATAGCTCTAGTCTGTCCCCCTGCTTTAGTGTCAGGACCCTGCAGAGGGGTTCAGGGAGCCTGAGCTTGAGACGCAGTGCAGGGAGCAGGCCTGACTTAGGGGGACAATAATGGTGACATGCCTTTCATGCCTTGGTTCTCTTTTCCTTTCAGCTACTCAGTCTGAAGGTAAGAGCCACAAATTCCTTTCTTTCTCTTCCCCCATATCTTCTCAATCCTTTCTCCTCAACCCCAAGTTCTTCCAATCCTCCCAACTCATTCAGCCTTTCTCTGCCCCTCCACGCGATCCGCCTGCCCACTTGGTTTTCCCGACTTTAGAAAAGCCAGCTCCCGTCTCGCAGCAAAGTCCAGGCCAGCACTGCCAACCGGGCCGACCCCAAAGGTGCTGGGGCCAACGGCTGGATGGCTTCCCTCCTGGGCGGCCTTCTCCAGACAACCTAGACCAGATCTGCCTTCCTACTCGTCAACACGTGGTGTATGGCCCTTGGGACCTGCCACAGTCTGGCTATTCCCACCTTAGTCGCCAGGGTGAGACCCTCAATATGCTGGAGACTGGATATTCCCGCTGCTGCCGCTGCCACTACTATGCAAAGCGCATGGATTGTGCAAAACTTGTGGTAAGGATCGGGCGGGTAGTCCTAGGGTGTCCTTTAAGCCCCAGACAGTATGTGTGTGTTTTAAGGACTGGAGGCCGAGGCCTGGGTGTGCAGAAACCTCCTTGGTCCTGTGTTGGAGAGCGGAGGCAGTCTCTGCTGCTTTCCGACCTCGCTGCCCAGAGTCCTTTCCTGGAGCCTGGGAGGAAGACAGGAATGTGGACGAGGGCTGCTAGGCTGACCCGCCCTTCTTCTCTAGTGGGAGAACGCAATGAACCAGTACTGTGAGGCCGAGTTTTCGGTCAAGACCCGAGCCCACTGGTGCTGCAAACAGCAGGGGGAGGCTCGGTTCTCCTGCTTCGAGGAGGAAGCTCCCCGGCCACACTACCAGCTCCAGGCCGGGCCCAGCCCCCAGCCTGTTATATCCATGGGCCTTGAGCTGCCTTTCCCCCCGGGGGTGCCTACACTGGACAATATCAAGAACATCTGCCACGCAAGACGCTTCCGCTCGGTGCCACGCAACCTCCCACCAACTGACCGCCTCCAAAGGCAGCTGCAGGCTCTGACCCGGCTGGAGGGGGAGCTCCAGCGCTGCTGCCGGCGGGGGAATAACCACACCTGTGCATGGAAGGCTGTAAGTGGGCGTCCCAGCCCCCCAGAGAGCCCGTCTGCCTGCCTGCCCACCTCTGACCTCTGATCCCGCTGGTCCGTTCCTCCACGTGCCTCCCCACTGTGAACACGTTTGCCCGTCCGTCTGCTTGTGAATGTCCGCCCGTCCGTTGTGTTCGTCACCTGAGTCTGTTCGTCTTGAGCCTTCATCCTGCACTCCCGGCCTCGTCCACCCGTGGTCCCACACGTGTACCTGTCTGCCATCCGTCCATCCATCCAGCTCTGGCCTCACCCAACCCCCTCCATCTACCGGTCCAGCTCATCTCCCGTGGCCAGCTCCGAACCTCACCTGTGCTTCCACCTTCCACCTCCCCAACCTCACACATCCACAGC